AAAAAAGACAAGGCCGACATGTCGGCTAAGACTGAACACCGGACAATCCGTCGTTCTCCGGCTAGGCGGTGAAGACTCACCGGCCCTCACCGCCCTCGCCTCCATCAGGATCACAATGTCTCCCTGACGAACTGACGACGACGACGAGGTGCGTATGGGCTGAGACATCCTGTTTGGCAACATGAATACTGGGATGAAGTTTTGGAACAGGACACTAAATGAATCTAAATGAATGCCACGGACTTAGTCCATATATCAATGTCCTCAAAAGAGTTTACCTACAAATCTAGTGAGCTATCCTGGGCAGTAGCGTCTTGCTTATACTCACTAGCTTACCTCTTCCTACAGCAGCCTACTACACCCGCCTCGGGCTTAAATATGTTGTGTGCATATCATTAGGGGCTCCTGGCATCGCTACTAGGAGCAAGGACGCTACTAGGAGCTCCTGGCATCGCTACTAGGAGCAAGGACACTACTAGGAGCAAGGACACTACTAGGCAAGAAGCAATGAGTTCGGGGGCTTTATTCACGGAAAACTCGATGTAGTTCTTCCAACTCTGGGACGGCCCTTCGACACTCCTTGGCACATCCAGACTCTCATTCGAAGCAAGGGTGTGACGTCCCAAGGACAACGTGCCGCTGGACGTTTTCAGCGACGCAAACCGCCCAAACCGCCCACCAAATCGCGGGTGGAACATGCATGAATGCTGACCATTTCGGACCCGGTAGGTTTTCATAAGTGTGCGGTGTTCCAAACAAGAGGCTACGAACGGGGCTCCTGGCATCGCTACTAGGAGCAAGGACGCTACTAGTAACAAGAATAAGAAGCTACCAATTGGACAACCCAATGGCAGTTTGAAAGAGCGTCTCGAGGCTGAATATCGTAGCGTTTTTAGGCGGAATGGTGCGCAGCACTCGGCATATCGACTTCGATACCTGGAGCCTCCAACAGTGAAAGGAACGGAGATGACCCGTTTTCTGTCGCCACAACAGGTCAACTCCAGATACCATGGAGTGTCTCGCATTCATCTAGCTTGGTCCGAAAAAAACAAACCCTTCCCACAACGCCAGGAGCTTCGGCCCCCGAGTTCCGAACTGGCCTGTCCGGCATCTTCAAAGGCTCCCAAGCACTTGCAAACACCCTGCCGCGGTCAACACGACCAACAACAGAATGGTTACTGGAATGAATTATCCCAAGTAAAGGTTTAACGTGGAACATGTTAAATATATACAGAAAACAGTCCCTATGGATCCACATACCTTCCCAGAAGGTATGTGGATCCATGGCAGTATGTGTTAAACTTTAAACCCATGTTTATAGCCAAGCACCAAAACCGAGTCAATCAAGTCGAACGAGCCTGACGAGACTTGAAATTTCCCGGAGACGCCTAAAAAAGATCCGACGTCAACAAGAGAGGTCCAGATGATACTTGATCCTCGTCCTCATCAATCCTCCTCATCTCCGCCATCCTCCGATCCAAGCTGTTGAGGGCGAATTGGCACCTTCACCGAAGCCACTTTCACACTGAGCTCCATTTCCTGGAGACATCTCGAAAGGGTCGGACATTTCCTGGAACCCCCGATGGTACACAGGGAGAACGTTCAAAACCGTTGAGCCATGTTCTGGCTAGGTTTAGGAAGTTCTGGCTGTGGGTACAATCCAATGACAGACTATCTACATCGATGGGCGGCGGGGCGGCGGGGCTCTGCATCCACAGTAGAAAATTAATCTGAGGAGTATGCTGCTGCTTCTTTGATAAAGACGGGTAGCTGGGGAATGGGAGCAAGACTGATGAACACTTGAAAGCTATGGTTCTCTCTCGTGAAGGTAAAATGGAACAGTTCCGAAACTTGAAGTGGATCATGTCATGGAAATTTGTCTACCAAAGGCTACTGTTCATGGACGACAAAGAACTTGCAGCACATGCCGCACACGACGTGAAAACACAAACACACACACACACACACTTCGACACTGGTTTTCCGTTAAAGCTCAATTTCTCCGCTGG